TCCCCTACTTGTGCTCTCTCTTTCTCTCTCAAAGATGAATACATAAACATTTAAAAAATTATTAAAAAATAAATACATAAAATGGAAGCAGGGGAAGTGGGTTTGGCTAAGCTAGGCTTCAAAAGACTTTTTATATAGTGGACTAGGCTAAGAGGCTACATGTTGTTAGAAATTTCTTTTGTAGGAGACCTTCCCAAAGTAGAGAAGGTATAGGTCTGTGATGTTCCCACTGCCTCCCTGGAACCTGCACTAGTTTCTGACTTAGTCTCCAGGCATCTGCTGGACTGGGGCCAGAAGACAATCTTCCAGGCAAGACCAGAAGGTATTCTGCTCATCTGTGCTCTGGTCTTCTTCTCTTTCATGTCAGCACTGCCACCCAGAATCTCTAGGAGTGAACTCTCTTGGGCCCCTGACAGCCTCCAGAATCTAATGCATTGCTATAGTTTTGACATGGGCTGCAATGCATATATTAAAGTTTTATTTTGTCTTTATCTAAGCTTGGGCAGCTATGACAAATATAGACTGGGTGCTGCCAATGATAGACATTCTTTTCTCCGAGTTGCGGGGCCTGGAAGTCCTGTAGGATTCTCATGGATTTAGTTCCTGGAGAGGGCCCTTTTCCTGCCTTATAGATGGTGCCTTCTTGTCTTCTCATGGTGTGCTCAGTGGCCTTTCCTCTGTGTGTGCATCTGGAGAGAAAGAGCTCTTGTCTCCCTTATTCTTATTAGGACACTAATTATTGGGGCTCCACCTTCATGACCTCATCTAAACCTAATTACCTCTCTAAAGCTCCATGTCCAAATGCCATCATGTTGGGATCAGGGCTTCAACATATGAAATGGTGGGGCAGGGGGTAGACAGAACATTCAGTCCATAACAGCCTTGGTGCACCTAGCTCAGACAGTTGGAATTAAAGGAATTATTGAGTTTAATGGTCTTAGAAGATCAGCCTTTAAAAAAGGATTATGGAACTATAGTGAAAGTGAGGTGGTCCTATATATCAGGCCATTGTGATTTTCAATGGATTCTTCCTTTCTTGAGTTCTTTTTTTTTAAATTTTTTTTT